CGGCTGCATCAGCGGCGAGCGCAAGGCGCAGCGCAGCAGCGAGGCAGCACACCGCGGCCCTCGGACGAGGACAGCGAAACGAGCACGGCTCAGGCACGCTTGTTCCCCTTCTCCGCTGCGACGCACCATCGTCTAGTCAACGAGCAGCGGGATGCGCAAGCTTCTACATACGCTCACAGCGCGCGCGCACACACACACGCACACACACACACACACGCGCACACACACACACACACTCACACACACACATACACACATACACACATACACACACACTTGCACACAGTTTCATCGGCCGCGAGGCACATTGGTTGCACCAGCGATAGAGCTAATCAGGGGCACCCGAAAGCCAATCTGCCAGCGTGCAGGAGAAGGAAGAGGACGGAGAGGGCGGCCGCGGAGGGGGGGAAGAGGGGGGGCCACTAAGAGGCGGAAGACTTCGGTCCCGAGTCTGCTGGACACACACACACAAACACACACACACACACACACACACACATATACACCCGCGCGCACGCACGCAAGCACGCACGCACGCACGCACGCACGCACGCGCGCACGCACGCATGCACACACACACAAACACACACACCAGCGATAGAGCTAGACGGGGGCACCGAAAAGCGAATACGCACACACACACAAGCACACGCACGCACGCACACACAAAGTTTTCCTCCGACGCGCCGGTGAAGACAGTCAGCGGGTAACGATGAGCAAAGGCGGGATGCGCGCAACGCACAGTTGCCACGCGTACGCGACACGCACACACAGCCACATAGGAAGTTGCGGGGGTAAAAGCTTTTATGATGTCGCCGCCACTGGGAGTCCAAGTCGACCGAACAGCTCCTTCTGGCCAGGGGGGAAAGAGGGGGCTCGAGCGGCTCGTGCAGCCTTTTGGGAGAGGAGCAGGAAAGGGAAGGAGGAGAAGGGAGGGGGACAAGGCGGAGGAGTGGGAGGAGGACTAGAGGAGGAGGAGAAGGAGGAGGAGGAGGAGGAGGAGGAGGAGGAGGAGGAGGAGGAGGAGGAGGAGGGGGAGGAGGAGGGGGAGGAGGAGCAGCAATGGTGAGGTGGAGGAGTAGGAGGAGGGACGGGTTGGATGAGCAGAAGGGCGGGAGGATTTGGAGGAGAAGCGAGGACGTGGAGGAGAAGCGAGGAGGGGAGGGCATCGTCTGGCAGACACCACTGCCAGCAGGCGTCACGCCTTCTTGAGGGTTGTGCAGCTGCCGCCGGGCATCACGGCGGACGTGCACGAGGACAGCGCTCTGGCGAGGGCAGGGACTTCGCCCCAGTCAGAAGGAGCAGGATCACCACCAACACCACCACCTCCTGGAGTGGGGGGGGGCCTCGTCGTGAAAAAATCATGACGAGGGGGTTGGCAGCGTTCGGCTTCCAGAGACGCTCGTTTGGCCTCGGGACCGTCAACAAACATATCCTGGAAGACAAATCTGGCCCGGGGAAGGGGCCAAGACCTTTCTGGGTCGACGTTACAACAAAAACGTGACGTCGGGAGGGGGGGGCGGGGGGGGGAAACCAGTGGCGGTGGTGGCGACTATTGGTTGGGAGAGGCTTTGGTAGGGCATCCTGCGCATCTGCATCACACGAAACATTAGATCATGCACCAACCGCATGCGGTGGCGGTGGGCCTCCTTCCTCTTAACAAGGATGAGGATTAATTGGGCAGATGAAGAGCAACAGCAGCAGCAGCAACAGCAGCAGGTGGGAGGAGTAGGAGGAGTAGGAGGAGGGGGGGAGGGGAGGAGGTGGAGGAGGGAAAGGAGGAGGCGGAGGAGGAGGAGGAGGAAGAGGAGGGGGGAGGAGGCAATGAGGGGGGAGGGGGGAAACATGTCTCCTGCCTCGTCGAATGCCGGACGAAGGGTGCCTCCCGTTCCACCTTCTTCTTCCTGGAGAGCATGGGAGAAGAATCGTAGACTACCCAGGAGGAGCAGGAGGAGGAGGAGGAGGAGGAGGACGGGGAGGGGGGAGGGACAGGGCACACGATGTGGCGCAAGGCAACGCAATGCCAAGGCATTGCGCTGCAGTGCAAAGCAATGCAGCGCAACGCAGAGCAACGCCAAGCGATACGAAGCAACGCGGCGACGGGCGGCGACGATCCTGCAGGACCGCCTCTGGGGCCCAGCTGCGACGGCGGCAGCAGGCTGCGTCGGGCGGCGACGAGCCAGCCAGACCGACACAGGGGCCCAGCCATCTCAGAGCACGAGTACAGTCGGGGCCCTGAAGAAGGAACGCTTTTTGTTGGGGAGGGGCTCGGTGTTCCTTGATTGTTGTGCAGTTTGCCTCGGGTTTCCCTTAGGTTTTTGTATGGAAAATCGAAGCTTAACTTATGGAAAAGAGGGGCCTCGTTCCTTATTTAGGGTTCCTTAGGTCAACGCCCCGACTGTACATGTCCCTCAGTGCAGGCCCTGCTCACGGAACTCTCGGAGGTCCGCGCGGAGTTTTCGGGTCGACGTTGGAGCCTTTTGGCGGCCCCCCTGGCGCCGCCCGTGGCGCCGCCACTGGCGCCGCCACTGGCGCCGCTCCGCGCGCCAGGAAGTGGGGTCCAGCGCCGAGCCAAGAAATCCGAGCGGACCTCCCAAAATTTATGCGTGTGTGTGTGTGTGAGTGTGTGTGCAACAATTTTGGTCAGGGACAACCCGGCACCAGGGAGAGGGGCCTACGACCCCGAGGGGCACGACGCCTTCTGCGAGGAGCTCGTGAACGACCTGCACCGCGAATACTTCGACATCCGCAGGGCCTGCGGAATGCGGGGAGTCCAGATGGAGCGCCAGCTGCAGCGCACCGAGCACTAGCGAGACAACGGCTGGGGCAAAGGAACAGGGCGACGACCCAGTCGGGAAAGGCAGGAGACACGCCGACCCCACCTGGCCCAACAGCGAGCAATCGAGAGGCCACGCCGTCCCCTCCTGACAGGCCTGCCCGGCCTCTAAGGCCTCGGCACGGCGGCCGCCCCAGGACAGCCAACACTGCTCGCCCACCACTAGCCTTACCAGCCTGGAACATATCCCTATCCCTATGCTGGGCACCTCCTCATCACGATGCCAATCCCTCATTTTTTGAGGGCGCATCCCCAAGAATGTCGTCGCCTTTGGCGTGTCAATCTTAGGGATAGGGATACGTTCGAGGCTGGTAATAGCCCCCCCAAACTGCTCCCCCAGAGCACCAGGTTCACCAGCCGGGGATCCAACCTGGGCGCCGCCCCTGCTCAGCCCAGACCTCCCTCCCCAGACTGGTGCGTCGCCTGCGGCCGCACTTTTCCGTGGCCCCTGCGCATCCAATCCGCCACGTCTCTGCGCACGCTGACCCGCAGCGCACCGTCCACCCAGACAGTGCGGGGCATTCAGTCGTGTCAGTTGCAGCCCGCCTCACCGCCACCCGCATCGGCCTGACGCCCCTGGACGCCACGTGCCGTCCACCTCGACGGCGCGTGGCGCATACCCTTTCAGCTGAGACCTTTCGCACAGGGTTTTGCATTGGTTAGGTGCACCTTGATCGGCCGCGTACCGTTCACCCCGGCAGCGCCAGCCGTCTCAGTGGGTCCACCCATGCTTCAGGTGTCCTCCCATGGGGTTCAGGCTAAGCTCGCTGCTGTGCCAAACTGCGACCGAGGCCACTTCTCGCGGGCAGCTCTCGCCAGGCCCGAGCGCGCGCCGGCGGGTCGCTCTCCCGCCCCCTGTGATTGACATCGACACTGTCGGCGCTGACTACGTGGACAGCCTCGTCGCCTCGTCGTTGCCTCGCGAGGCTGCTGCCGCCGCTGCCCGTCGGGCTGATGAGCACGCGCGTGCACCGGTGCTCCCGACGCGCGGGGAGGGGGAGCGGGAGGAGGAGGAAGAGGAGGAGGAGGAGAGAGGAGGGGGAGGAGGAGGAGGAGGAGGAGGAGGAGGAGGAGGAGGAGGAGGAGGAGGAGGAAGACGAGGAGGAGGACGAGGAGGAGGAGGAGGAGGAGGAAGACGAGAAGGAGGAGGACGAAGCGCTGGCGGGAACACTTTGGGCCAGGCCCGGCGGCCCACATGCCTGCCGACCTTCGCCCGCGGCTCCGTTGGAAGCTGTGCCTCGGGATCCCGGAGATGCCTCGACGCGGGCGCTGCTCTGGGAAGGAAAGGGCGAGGGCCGCCTCGCGCACTTCGCTCCGAGGGTGCCCATCAGGAGGGGGCCTCTTTGGTGTCCTGGGGCCGTCTGCAAGTTTGGGGAGGTGCGCACAGGTCGCGTCGCTCGACTCTGGCCAGTCGTTCGTCGCGAGCCTCGCCGGGCCCGGGCGCCCCTCGCCTTCTGCAGCAGGAGCCATCGGGAGCGGGAAAGAGGGGGGTGATGACTAGGGGGGGGGGGGATTTCATGGCGCGGCCCACGATTTTTCCTCAGGTTTCATGGCGCCTCTTCTTATTTCAATGTTACGTCCCAGGCCCCCGCTGGGCCGCGCACATGCCGCCGGTCATGATTTGCACCCCCCCCTCTTGGACACCCCTTTCTTGGCCGCTCCCGAAACCACGGGCTGCCCTTCGACGCCACCATCACGCGCGTAGATGCGTCGCCCTGGGGCTTTGGGGTCACGCAGCGGGGGGTCTCGCTGGAGGCCGTGAAGGGCCTCGCCAGGTTCAACTCAGGAGGGGAAAAAACACACACACACACACTGACACAATGAATCGTCGATTCCCCAGGAAATATGGCAAAATACGGGAAGTGGTGGGGAGACAGAAACCCAGAACATATAGGAAAATATGGGGAATATTTTTATTTGTGTGTATTTATTTGCGTGTCCCTGGGCCCCGCGCTGGAGGTTGTCTCAGGATGTTGAACAGGAGCAACTCGGCCCCCCGGCGGCCGCCGTTCGTGACCACGGCCCCAGTGGGTCCGCCGTGGGCCCTGGGGCGGGCTTCAGTGAGGTCCCCGTCGACATCTGAAGGGGCCACCGGCACGCTGCGCCATCGGCGCCCTGGAGGCGCCCTGCCCCGCAAGTGCTCCTGGCGGCCCGATCTGGCGTGATGAGGCTCAAGCACAAGCTCCGATCATCGAGGTCCTTTCGGGCGACTCTCGTGATCGTGAGCGATGCTATGGCGCCCACGTTGGCTCTTTCGAAAGGTCGCTCTTCGGCTCCCACGCTGCTCGCCGCATGTCGGCGGGTGGCCCGCCTGCTGCTCGCCTCAGGACCCGCGGCGCACCAGCGCCGGCTGCCCTCTGAGTATACAACTCCGCGAACCCAGACCCCCGACGTCATGAATTTTTCATGACGTCGACCCCCAGCGGTCTGGACCCTCTCCCCGGGACCGGCTCTTCGTCCTGAGTCGCCTTTTGACGGCCCCGAGGGCCGGCAAGGGCCCCCAGAGGCCAAAAAGAATGAAACACCTCCCGCCGCGATTGTTTCATAACTCGAGGGGGTCGGGGAGCCCCGCGCCCCCGAACCGCCCCGGGGCCCCGCCAGAGGCGCGGCGCGCCGCGGTCCTCGACCCAGCCAGCGCCGCCTGCCGGCCAGCCTGCCCGGGCCCGCCGGCGTCCAGCGACGGCTCTGACGGCGCCTCGCGCCCGGAGCGGCCCGCCGTCGAGCTGGGCCGCTGCGCGCCGTCGAGCTGCGGCGGACTGGTCCTGGGGGGGGCCAGGAGACCCTCCGCCTGGCATCGCTCGGACGTGTGCATGTTTCCTCCGGCGACGGCCATCGAGGAGCATCCTTGATCATCCGGCGAAAAAAAAAAACACGCACGAAACCGAAAAATACACGAGGAATGGACGTCCGAGCGATGGCCAGGGGGGGGCCGGCCGGAAGGCCCTCCGCGCGGCCCGCCGCCAGGCCTTAGCAGGCGCGGCGGCGGCTGCCGCGGAGGGGGCGCTGGCCCTGCTGGGGGTGGAGGCGGCGGGCGAGGCGACGCGCTGGGACTACGAGGCGCGAGCCGAGGTTCGAAACGCTGACAGTGTAAGATTATTTGAACGACTTGTCGCCGGGTTGCTTCGTGTGGTTTCTGCCAAAAGGCCGTTTTAGCACGGCTTTTCAGTTGGCGCGTGCCGATGGTTTCGCGCAGCCTTCGAAATTATGTGTTTGGGCAGCCTCGTGAGCGTCGGCAGCGCAGCTGCCGATCAGGACCGCGGTAGAGACCGGCGCGGCCCTGGTGACCTACTTCGACGCGCTGTTCTTCGACGGCACGCCGAGCGAGGAGGCGGCGAAGTGCGTGGCCGCGATCGCCCGCTGCAGGGCGACCCTGTGGGGAGGCTCCCGCTGGCGCTGCCGAGAGCGGCCCGTGCTGCGAAGGGCAGGGCGCGGCTGGTTAGGCCGCGGTCGCGGTTGCCACTCCCCTGGCCGATCGTTTGCCGGATGATCGACTGGATGCCGCGCTCGGGGGAGGCGACCGCGGCGGCGGCGACCGCGTTCGGTTTCGCGCCGCACCTGCGCCTCAGAGGTGTTCCGTGGATCTGGCCACCTCTCGACTGCGCGGCGGCGCGTGTGCCGCGGTGGGCAAGGGGGCTTTGGAGTATCTCAAACGTGATCCTAGCTGCAGTCTGCTCCAGACACGAATTCAGCAGCTGCTCGGAGGTTGGCTTCGGTCCGGTCTGGTGGCAGCAGCGTGCACTGCTACGCCGCGTCAGTCTATGTCACTCGCGCGCAACCGTCCGAATGGCCCCCCTCCACTGAGAAGCAGTCTGTATCTAGGGGGCATGCTTGACCTGAGCCATGGTGATGCCTTGAAAGTGCTGTAGGGAAAGAGGTTGTGCACTTTCAGTGTCAGTCTTTGTGAGTTTGCGCTGTCCTTTGGGATCCCTGTCGGCCTTGAAAATCCTTGGTCCTTCTGGCTTTGGAAGCAGCCTGTGGCCGCTCGGGTTGCGAAGCGTCCCCGGGTCCAGCGCTTAACAGCTGACTTCTGTGCTTTCGGAGCCCCGTGGCGCAAGCGAACAACCGTTCTCTATGCTAATGCTGACCTCGCGTCTCTTTGGCCTTTTCAAGTGTAGCGGCCGCGGCATTTGCACGTTCTCTGGCAGGCCTCACGCTGAATTGTCTGGAAAAGGATAGTTCGGCAGATTCTCGACGGCTATCGCCGAACAGTACCCTCGCCAGATGTGTGCGCACGTCGCTCGTGCTTCTGTCAATGCCCATCGCAACCATGGTTTTCGAGGCATGATGTCAGCGGTGGCCCCCCTCGGGTTTCCAGGTAAAAAGTTTCGCAGCCCTCCAGTTTTACGGCGTTGTGCCGTCCTCTCCCAGCCGTGCGGCCTTGGCCTGATGCAGTCCTCCGTTTAGAGCTCTGGGCACCAGCCAGCACACAGATCAAACCTTTGGTTTGGCCGTTTGGCAAAAAAAGCTCACGGAGGAACATATGGCAACGCTTGCATGTGAATATTTGCTGAGGGTCTCTTGGGAGAGGCGGCCGCGCGTGTCATCACGCCCGCAACCGACCGTGCTCAAGCTCCCACCCAAGCCCACCCGCGGAGCAACATCTACGCGTGGTGTTGCGCCGTCCTCTCCCAGCCGCGCGGCCGGGGTATGATGCAATCCTTCGTCTGGAGCTCCCGGCACCATCCAGCACACAGATCAGCCCTTCGGTCTGGCCGTTTTGCTAAGAGAGCTCACGGAGGAACAAATCTTTCTATACATACAGACATGTATATAGGAGGACAAGGACGACGACCCAGGCACCCTTTGGCCCTCGGATGGATCCCGCCCTCCCCATGTATAATATAGATATGCTTACGTACACAAATTTAAATATATAGATATGTATATTTGTATATTCCTCACACCATGACCCCCTTTACAGACATGTATATGTATACTATATATATATATATATATATATATATATATATATACGTACACACAGATGTACAGATTCCGCACATCCTGACCCCCTTGGGGCGCACTGTGATCCGTCGGGGCATCCCCCACGAGGCCCCCGCGCCGCCGCCCCAGGACGGCCTCAAGATCAACACCGCGCACCTCCCGGCCGCCTGCGTGACGGTGGACTCCCCGGGCTCGGGGCGAGCGTCCGGCACGCTCCTCCAGCCAGGCCGGCGGGGCGCCGGCAGCTGGGCCGGGGCGAGCGAGGGGGAGAGGGCCAGAGCGTGAATGACTTACCCCGCTGTCGCTTCCAGGCAAAACCAAATCGTGCCACGCGCCTCCTCGTCAAGCGGCCTGACCGGTGCAGGCCGCAGTTTGGCATCGCTTGGCATCTCTTGGAAGCGAGGGTGGTCAAAAGCGAGGTAGGTTCGTTCGCCCCCTAGAGGGGGAGACGCAGGAGGACAGGGCCAGCCTGAGGAGGAGGAGGGAGGGGGGAGGAGGGAGGAGGGTCAGCCGGAGGGAGGAGGGTCGGCCGGAGGAGGGAGGAGGGAGGAGGGAGGGGAGGATGGAGGAGGGTCAGCCCGAGGAGGGAGGAGGGAGGACGGAGGGGAGGAGGGAGAGGGAGAGGCGCCGGAGGATCAGCCTGAGGAGGAGGGAGGGAAGTCAGGCGATCGCAAACATGGATTCAGGGGGCGTGGATTAGCGACGGGTCCCGCTTCCATGGGAAATCGCGAGCTGCCGCCACCGATCGAGGCGCCACCAGCCGCATTCGGGGGAGGGCACCTCCCCCGATCCATGGACTGGGCGACCGCGCGCCACATCCATGGATCGTCAATCAATGCCTGCGTGCCCCCGAGGGAGGGAGGAGGGACGGGAGGGGAGGAGTGCGCAGCGTGGCCGCAGCAGGGAGGAGAGGTCGAGAGAGCCTTGCCAGGTGGGGTCTCGCGCTGCCGCGCCGAACGTGTGCCGATCGGCACACGTGAGCACATGCGGCAGGCACATTGCGAGGGCCCTGTGGCCAGTTCCGCCAGCCGACCCTGAAGGCGGGACCTCCTCCTCCTCCTCCTCCTCCTCCTCCTCCTCCTCCTCCTCCTCCTCCTCCTCCCCCTCCTCCTCCTCCTCCTCCTCCTCCCTCCTCCTCCTCCTCCTCCTCCTCCTCCTCCTCCTCCCCCTCCTGGCCAAGGCTCATTTTGGCTCAAGGCTTTGAGTTCCCCCGTGGAACGAGTGGATACCGCTAGTCCGCGGCAGTGCCAGAGCGCTTGCGCTCGACAGTGTTTTTCGTTCAGCCAGTACCGCAGGGGCTCTCTGGCGGCCCAACTCGCAGCAAAGACGTCGCCATGGTGCCAGCGCCGTGGACATGGAGTGGTAAGCAGCAGGAGTCCAAGCAAGATTGGATGTGCAAGTTTTGCACGTTTCGTCGTACTGGGGCTCCTCTCATTAACTATGGGATGAATGAGAAGTGCTACAAGTGCAAGCTGCACAAGGGTGTGGCATTCAAGTGCGTCGTTCCCTCGGACTCTCAGCAGGACTAAACGCAAGGCCGACGGCACCAATGATGCAGCGGCTGCATCGTTTGCCAAGTTGGAGAAGCGCCTGCAGCAGCTGGAGGCCGAGAACGCGAAGCTGCGTGGGTCGCCTGACTCGGGCGGAGGCGACGCGGCAGTGGAGTCCAATGCGTCGGAAGAGCTACGTGATGAGATCGACGGTCTCAGCAAGCATGTGCAGTGGCTGGGGTCGGTCCGCTCCCCTTGGGCGGAGTTACCACTCAAGGCTGCTCGCGAGCAGCTGGAGGGAGCTCGTCGCAAGCTGTATGAGAACAAGCCCTTGCCCGCGAAGCTCACGGCCTTGTCGCGCCGAGCTGAGCAGGCCCGCGTCCGCTACCAGAAGGCGGAGCAAGACAAGGCGGCAGCGGACCAGAAGCTGCTCAAGGCGCAGGAGGAGGCCAAAGCAGCTGCGCTGGTGGTCTTGGAGCGCCAGAAGGTCTGCCTGCAGCTGGAGGAGGAGGTGCGTGCCCTCGCATCTTCGCAGCCAGCAGATGAGCCAGGACAGCATCAGGCTATGGACCTCACGGGCCCTGAGATCAAACTGGAAGAGGCCAAGTTGCTTTCAGCGCTTGGTGCTGTGGAGGGCGTCGCGGACGCCAGCAAGCTGGCACCGAAGTTGGCTGAGGTGCTCAAGTCCTGCGCGACCGAGCTGCTGGAGGAGCCGCCCGACAAGCAAGCTCGCGGGGCAGCGAGCGGTGGTCAACCAGCGGAGCCGCCCCCAGCAGCATGGGACATCGACGCGATCGAGGTTCAGCTGCTGCGTAAGGATGTCGGCTCCTTGGCTGACGAAGGTGAGGACGAGGAGGAGCTTCGAGCCAAAGCTCGTCTTTTGGCAGCAGGAGGCTTCAAACCTAAGCGGCTACACAATCCGAACTATTGAGTGCCCCCTCGTGTCCTCGGATGCGGTCAAAGGGGGCGAAGTTGAAGACAATCGATTACGACCAGTAACCTACGGAGGCCTGCTGTTCCCTGACTACAGCTGCCTGGACCTGTGCGAGTATTTGAACGGAGAAGAGGCATCAGGCGTTGTGGTGCCTCTTTCTGCTGGGCAACTTGCAGGGCAACACGCTGATTCACCTGGCCATGGCGTGCCACATGAGCCCGTTCCAGTTCATGATTTGGAGTTGCTCGGTAGGAGTTCTACCTACACAGCGCTTAGCAAGCTTCAGGTGGCTGGTGACAAGCAGCCGATACAATCGTTCGGGGTGAGCACGGAGTTCACGGTGGTTTGCTACAACAGCAATTCCTGGGCCACGGCTCAGAGTTTCATGGAGTAGTGCGTGCTGGACC